GTGTAAAATCTAAACATTTTGAATACATTGTAGTGTAAAATCTCAACATTTTGAAAACATTGTAGCGTAAAATCTCAACATTTTGAATACATTGTAGTGTAAAATCTCAACATTTTGAATACATTATAGCGCAAAATCTCAACAATTAGAATACATTGTAATGTAAAATCTCAACATTTCGCAAAAAATGTCAAAACCGGTTCATAAGATGGTTTATTTGTTGACTGCTTAGGATGTTCAGTTCAGTAATTTGTTTACTCAGAATGCTGTTGTAGTTTCTGATGACAGTTGTGGTCTTGAATCTTTCATCATCTCTGGAGCAGCATCTTCTGGAACATCTGAAAAAAGATGTAATTAAAAATAGGAATGTGTTGAAACACCACATTGATGGACTTATAGTGGAAACTATGGTTGCAAATATACTTATTTTTCCTCTCATATGTCTTAATATAACATCAATTCTGTATCATCAATGTACATAAAATTCTGTGCATATTTTATTTTGGTATTCCAGCCTAACTTAACTAAGCCACTCAAATTAATCCTTTTTCAAAGTAAAAATATACATAACGTATTTTTCAAAAAATTTGAAAATTAATGTTAATTTGATCCAAAATTTACATAAAATACATAAATATATGCATAATGCGTCACACGATGGTTGCCAAAATAATCAGAGTGCGTCACACGATGGTTACCAAAATAATCAGAGTGCGTCACACGATTGTTGCCAAAATAATCAGAGTGCGTCACACGATGGTTGCCAAAATAATAAGAGTGCGTCACACGATTGTTGCCAAAATAATCAGAGTGCGTCACACGATGGTTGCCAAAATAATCAGAGTGCGTCACACGATGGTTGCCAAAATAATCAGAGTGCGTCACACGATGGTTGCCAAAATAATCAGAGTGCGTCACACGATGGTTGCCAAAATAATCAGAGTGCGTCACACGATGGGTGCCAAAATAATCAGAGTGCGTCACACGATGGTTGCCAAAATAATCAGAGTGCGTCACACGATTGTTGCCAAAATAATCAGAGTGCGTCACACGATGGTTGCCAAAATAATCAGAGTGCGTCACACGATGGTTGCCAAAATAATCAGAGTGCGTCACACGATGGTTGCCAAAATAATTAGAGGGCATCATACGATGGTTGCCAAAATAATCAGAGTGCATCACACGATGGTTGCCAAAATAATCAGAGTGCGTCACACGATTGTTGCCAAAATAATCAGAGTGCATAACACGATGGTTGCCAAAATAATCAGAGTGCATATACGTACCACACTCCTCCCCATATACGTTATATGCAGGGTTTTGAAATTCACGAGATTTGTCAGCCGTCTTTGCATCAGAAGTCACAGATGCATTTTCAAAGAAGTCATGTTTGGATAAAATAAGCTTGATTTTTGGTAGGTACATGAGTATGAGAATAAGTACGCTATTGAGGAGTATTCCAAAACACAGGGCTGGTTTCTGATATTCTGTAGGTCCAACAGTCGCAGCAACCGCCCATACAATCATAGTTAAGATAGAACCTGAAATATACAAACCAAACAAACTTTAATGTGCTTATCAAGAATAAAATCAAATCAGGATTTTACATTACATTTATCAGGAAGTTGAGATGACAGGGAAATAGACATAATATGGCCGATCACATCAGGGTAGTTATACACAAAATTCTAAACTGGCCCAAACATGTCAATTTTTTTGTTTTAAAATAATAAGAATAATAACTTTATTGACATTATTCATTTTAAATAAAACATGGTTGAATGCTATTCTAAAATAGAATAAAGTAATTTTATATGATGACAATGAATGTCTTTTGAGAAAAAATATGTGAAATGTGTATCGATGATTTCCATGACTACCCGGTAGTTTATTCCGCGACCTAATTAGCAAACTAGATAACTGATTTGCAATAAGTTTGGCATGTACGCTTAGAAATTGTGGTGGTATAGTTATCTGAGAAGAGGAGGAAAACGAGCATAAATAAATAAACATGGTGTATTATGTTGACTATCACAAGAGAAACCCTGGAATTCAAAAGATAAACTTCTATTCAGTAGTTTTAGGTAGGCTTATAGCTGTAAAAATATCAGTAAAAATGGGTCTTGCAGAAAACGAGAAGGTGTGATTTCATTGTTCTCAAGTAAACAAAGTCTCACAAAATTGTGACATGATAAACATTTCTAAAACAACCACTGTTGCCGGTAATACAACAAACTATCAGAATCTAGCACACATGAGGTTTCTTCCACACCAAAGATGTCTGTCATCATATTTCACTGTAACTCAATCATCAGTGATTTGTGGAAGCTGAAATTATGAAATTTCTTACTTTAATACCAAGGGATGTTATCAGAATATACAGTGATTCGTGGAAGCTGAAATTATGAAATTTCTTACTTACCAAGGGATGTTATCAGAATATACAGTGATTCGTGGAAGCTGAAATTATGAAAATTCTTACTTATCAAAGGATGTTATCAGAATATACAGTGATTCGTGGAAGCTGAAATTATGAAATTTCTTACTTACCAAGGGATGTTATCAGAATATACAGTGATTCGTGGAAGCTGAAATTATGAAAATTCTTACTTACCAAGGGATGTTATCAGAATATACAGTGATTCGTGGAAGCTGAAATTATGAAAATTCTTACTTACCAAGGGATGTTATCAGAATATACAGTGATTCGTGGAAGCTGTAATTATGAAATTTCTTACTTACCAAGGGATGTTATCAGAATATACAGTGATTCGTGGAAGCTGAAATTATGAAATTTCTTACTTACCAAGGGATGTTATCAGAATATACAGTGATTCGTGGAAGCTGAAATTATGAAAATTCTTACTTACCAAGGGATGTTATCAGAATATACAGTGATTCGTGGAAGCTGAAATTATGAAAATTCTTACTTACCAAGGGATGTTATCAGAATATACAGTGATTCGTGGCAGCTGAAATTATGAAATTTCTTACTTACCAAGGGATGTTATCAGAATATACAGTGATTCGTGGAAGCTGAAATTTCTTACTTACCAAGGGATGTTATCAGAATATACAGTGATTCGTGGAAGCTGAAATTTCTTACTTACCAAGGGATGTTATCAGAATATACAGTGATTCGTGGAAGACATTATGAAAGTTTCTAGCTTTGAAAGCTATCACAGTAGTTACTAATAACAGTAGATAAACGTAAAGTAACGACATCACCATCGCTTCCATTGGTTGGCCACACATCTGTTGTCCTTTCTCATCAATGTACGTAGCTGGTGGATCAATTAACAACCATTCAACAGCTAGAAGAAGTTCACTTAACATGACACCACAGTAAAAGATAGTCTGTGACATAGGACTGATAAATTTAGCCTTTGGTCCTGAAATACGCATTTGACGTTTTCCAATACGGTAGACACGCACTGCTTTGACAAACAATGCTGCATAACACATGGCATACAGAAATCCAAGTCCAAAACGTTGTATACCACAGATTACTGGAGTATTCTGTAGTACAAATGCAATGTTCAATGAAACCAAGAGGATAACACCAATAAGAAGTAGGATGTTAAGGCTGGATGATGAGTCTTGAAAGACGATATGTTTTATATGACATGAAACGAATATCAATGTTATTACAGCTAGGATGAAAACCACAATTGTTAGGCATAACACCAATATTCTCCATGTTTTATTCTCCCCACTAAAAGTCAAGAGTTTGCTACTCTTAGGGGTTATCAGTGGCTTGGTGGTCATTTTGTCTGAAGGCTCAGTTTTGCTGACAGTTGGAACTGAGATAGTGGTTGATTCCATCATTTGCATAACACAAAGTGGACAATCCACTTTGCTACAGTCAGCCCATGGTACATCTGGCGGTGTTAGTATTTGTAGCTTGTCTTGGTCAAAAGATAGAGCACCATTATTCCAGTCCCCAACCTAGGAGTAAACACATTATCTATAAGTGTCATCATACGTTTCAGAATAAGCTGTCATGTATTAGAAATTGAGAAGGGTAGACATACCCAACCCAAAATACCTTTAGAAGACAGAATCTGTAAGCAATGTTCCCAGGTCAAATTTGAAAACTAAGAACATTTCTTCATGGAATGTCTTAGGTACCAAACAGAAAGACAAAAGCTATTTAATAATATCAGTATTCCAGAAGAATTGAAAAGTGATAACCAGATATTTAAATATATTATGAGTTCAAGAGAAGACGTACTAATAAGACAAGTTGGTGAATACTTATACAAAATATTTGAAATCAGAAATAACTGACATTTTACTTTTACTTTAGTTTTATATGTATTGTACTTTATTACTAACATTTTATTGCTGTCAACCAAGGATTTCTAAGGATGCAATAAATTCATTATTATTATTATTATTATTATATTATTACGGATTTGAACCTTGAGTTATTCTTATGTTGTTACATTAATGCCTAACACAAGAAAAAATCCAATTTACAAAGTCCCGACGTTGAGTCATAATTGATCAAAACACTAATATTAGACCCTAGACTTGCAGACAGTCTTTTGTTCATTTTTGGCATAATGGCAAGGCAGCACTGAAGGTCCACTACAGATACTAGACTATACATCACTTGGAGAATACCAACAAGAGGTAGTTGAGGCATACACTTCTGACTGAGATGTTTGTGCGAATGTGCAACTGCCAACTCAACGGACAGTCATCTTCTGGCCAGCTTTGAACAGTCTTCTATGGTCATCTGATTTTTCTATATTCAACAACGCAAATGCATTCCTGAGTCTTCAGCGATGTATCAGTTGTGTGATACTTGTTTTTGTTGACATACTAGTGATCGCTATTCACGACCATCTTGAAAGAGTGTTAATTTATATGTATGTATGCTCCGCTCATCAAACCAGGTGATATCCAAATTACGCCAATTTGTGGCGGCATTGAAATTCTCATTAATAGTAACAGCAATGAAGCACTTGCATCACAAATCTCGGCTTTTGCGGTAACCCAGCTTTTGCGGTAACCCAGCTTTTGCGGTAACCCTGCTTCCTCAGTTATACACTCACATGATATTATACTTAAAAAGAACCAAATATTAAACAAGAGATTGTATGCAAGACTACATTCTAAGATTCTAATAATGACCACTTTATTAACATCATATACACAACTAATTATCTTACGTTTATAAACTGCAATCCATTATCTGTAGTCTGCTGATAGCTTTCCATCTTATAGCTGCCTGGTCCACTACCTTCACTGAACTGGAAGCTGGCACCTTCTAAAGTAAAGTTCACACTTTGGATTGCAGATATGAACTCTTCTGGAGTAGCTGAAACAAACTCAGTACACAACCCTTCTGACTGACCAACACATTTCTCATTGATCAAATTATGAATGCCATTTGCGATGGCATAAACAGAGTTAATGACATCCCCAACAAAATTACCAATTCCATTTTGCAATGGTCTCGGGAGAGTCAAAGTATTGGAACAGTTTCTGAGATATTTTGCATTGTTAGGTAGATTGCATTGGAAAGTCTCTTGCCAGTACTCTTGAAACCATGGGTTACGCACGTTATTGTCAGGATTTAAAGTAACAAAATAATTATCAAATGATGAAAGCTCAGCCGTTTTCCTGGAAATGATGATAAACCCACCAGCAACATTGTCCAGATTTGTTAGAGTGTCATTTTGTATCTTGCCATTGGTTAATACCCATTGATATGATTGGGAAGCTTGGAACGCGGCGTTAATCATCCCACGAGTGTCTTCAGGATCAGTAAAAAGTATGACTACACCTCGAGTACCAAATAGAGACAGTCTTTCACTGGCTTGTTGATAGTCAGCGGGTAAGTCAAGTCTCACAATAGTTGCTATACAGATCCCTCTACGTGGTGCCACATTTGTAAACGCCCTCATAGCTATAAAAAAAATAATTATATTTATATATTCATTGACTTAATAATAATAATCGTCAATCAATTGGGTAGAAGAAATTCATGAGTGAAAAAATAAAAATAACAATAACATAAACATAAGTGAAAATTACACATATCATTAACTTCATATAGTATTATAATATAGGGATTGGATATACGAGTAAAATGTTACCATGGAAACTCAATTTGGTAATATTATTATTCACCATTGAATTTGGTTCTACTGCTTGCAATAAAATAAAAGTACAATTGCAGACTTGAAATGCCAAAAGAAAAAATCTAGATCTGTAATTCTGCTGTTACCATGACAATGATCAACTCACCTGCTTTACTGAAACCATCTCGAGACACGACAACTGAAACATGTGTCCAGTGCAGTTGTTGTAAAAGGGCAAATAACGCCGCTGCTTGTTTATCGTCGCTTGGTACAGCACTTACAAAATAAGGATGTAAAATATTTATCAATGATGATGATGCTCCATAACTAACCTGAAATTCAAAGATACTGGTGATTATCCCATCATGCATTGCTGTAAGTATATCACATGATTTGCTTCAGCCAATTAGAGCCTAGCATTGGAGAAAAGGGCTGAATTAAAGTATAACTACAAATTTAGCTTTATTCGTCAACAAATTCAAGTAAAGTTAATCAAAAATATATTTTCAGTAATTTGAATATTTACGAATACAAATATTTTATACTTTATATACTTTAATTTAGCTGGAATTAATTTTCGCTGAAAAGGCTTTTTGGGTGTTTTGTATGGAATTTATTTTCACTGATTTTTGATGAGTTGAACGTGAGACATAAGAAAAAAAAGTATATTCGCTGGATTTTATTTTCACTGATACATTCCTTCAGTGAAAATAGCGAAAATAAATTCCAAGCGAAAATAAAGTATTCTACAGTATTCCATTTAAAATCAGCTGATTTTCCCATTACTTCAAAAACTGACTAAATTTCTGTATTTCAAATTTTTTTAACAATATTAGGATTGATATCAATTATAATAAATATAAATATAATGTCATTGAGAAAATTTTGAGTTAATAAATAATTTCACCATAACATTTTTTTAAAAATGAATAATAGTTTTATTACCAAGGTATATTTATATTGATTGGTCATAGTGATGACATCTGTGGTAATCACATCAGTTTCAGCTCCAATAACACCAGCAATAAGTGGAAAAGATGACGGTGAATACTTCTTATCCTTGTAAAATAATCCACTAAGTAGTTGTGATAAATCACGAACACCACGCATTCCACTCATACACGTATCAAACATCACTGTTCCCAGTTGAATGCCAGGTAGAAGTTTATCATCTTTGTTGATTTCATCAATTGCATACAACATAGCCTCAGTATAGACGAAACCGTTCTCTCGTAAATCACCACATTCAACCAAGTGGTTATTCTGATTATGCACTGAAAACAATGCAGGAATATGTATCTGTCCAGGTAACTCAATATATTGTTCATTTTTGAGTTTTACACACTCTTGACATCTGCCAAGGCATTCAGAATTCATCAAAGCTACAGGTTCATCATTATCATTGTATGACAGAATGTCCGTGGGATCTAAATCCAGGTTACCATTTTCCCACCCACCAATCTGAAATAACAAAATGTTATAATACTTTATTCACTCTATTTGAAACAAATATGCTTAATGTAAATAAGTAAACTCACAGTCAAAATAGCTCTGCTGTCTTTTTTGAAAAAAGTGTGTTCTGAACAAGATATTATCTACTAGTATTTGCCATGATTATGGTTCCCAAAATGTTCTTGCCTTCTGGTTACAAATCTCACCCTACTAAGTATCAAAGCAATGGAACTAGTAGTTTTCAAGAAGTCAAAAATAGAATTGCAATGTTGCTAGGACGATTAATAAAGAGATAGTGATTTTCTAGATCTGCTGTCAGCCCTATACAATATAAAATAAGTTTGCTGAAAGCCAATATTTGGTTTTGTTGAAATGTTGCATTGAGATTGTAGTCGACTCATATCTGTAGTATCTATTATATGCAATAAAACTTATTTGCAAATTACCGTTTAGATTTTGTTGAGAGCGAGAAAGTTATACCTAGTAAGGTGTTCCATTCTCTCTCATCATTGTGTGCACTGTTCCAAAAACCAGCAGAATTAAGAAAATGGAACACTGGGGACCAAAACAAGTCACATAAAATGGAACACTGGGGACCAAAACATGTCACATAAAATGAAA